GAATGGCAACCCACTCCAGTATTCCTGCCTGGGGAGTCCCAGGGACACAGGAGTCTAAGGGAGTACAGTCCATGGGGTCACAAAGAGTCAGACACAACTGAGCGATGAACACTTTCACCTACAAGGCTTAGGAGATGGGGCCTCCCCAGTGCCCCTTGGCCAGCTGCAAACCACAGTGGCACCAGATCGCTTGGCATTCGAGGTCTCTCATTAAATATGGCCCCCCGCCATCCACCCCTGCCCAAGCCAGCCTGGCAAACCAGCAGGCCAGGCTGCCAGGAACTCTCTGCGACTTTGCTCATCCTGTCTATTCAGATGTTAGCAGTCAGTTCCTGACTCAGACCTGAGCTCCACCGGGCCACCACCCTTCTCACCTCTGCTTACATGGAGTGTGTTAGTCACTCAGTCATATCTGACTCTTTGCGACCCCATGGACTGTAGCCCGCCAGGCACCTCTGCCCATGGGATTCCCCACGAAAGAATACTGGAGTGGGTAGCCATTCCCTTCTCCAGAGGATCTTCCAAACCCAGGGATCGAACTTAGGTCTCCCACATTGCAGGCAGATTCTTTATCATCTGAGCCAGCAGGGAAGCCAGCTAGTGTAAAATAAAAGGGTTTAATACTAAAGTAACTGCTAAAATATTAGAAATCATACAAATGATAGTTCACTATCACAACAGTCTAGTAGGGAGATGGAGATAATATTTCCAATTAAATGACTGAAGCAATTTGTGCTTTTTCTTCTTCACCTATCCTCTGGCGTTTAAGAGAAGGATCTTCATGATTGTCTCAATTTACGGTCTGCATACACAGAGGGTAGCCCCAAACCTCCCAAGCGCTGTCCCTGAGGACCTGTGTCTCCTGAAACCACGTTCATTTCCTGAGATGTCACTAGAAGTCGGCATTCTCAGAGCCTTACAGCTGTGGGGGGAGGGGTGGTGGTGGTGGTCTCTAAGCCAATTATCTGAGAGTGACCATCCCTGGTCCCAGGAGTGGGCTTGGAACACTGCAGAAGTTAACCTGACAATCAAACAAGGCAGCGTTCCCAGGGGAAGGAGAGTGGCATGTGAGGCTTCTTTATAAATACACAGGTTTCAACATCCCTGAAAATAGCACCCCTGAAGTAACCTCAGTCCAACTTTTGCATGCTTATTGAGCACCTACTACAAATAGAGACATTACTTTGCCAACAAAGGTCCGTCTAGTCAAAGCTATGGTTTTTCCAGTGGTCATGTATGGATGTGAGAGTTGGACTATAAAGAAAGCTGAGCACAGAAGAATTGATGCTTTTGAACTGTGGTGTTGGAGAAGACTCTTGAGAGTCCCTTAGACTGCAAGGAGATCCAACCAGTCCATCGTAAAGGAAGTCAGTCCTAAATATTCATTGGAAGGACTGATGCTGAAGCTGAAACTCCAATACTTTGGCCACCTAATTCAAAGAACTGACTCACTAGAAAAGACCCTGATGCTGGGAAAGATTGAAGGCGAGAGGAAAAGGGGATGGCAGAGGAGGAGATGGTTGGATGGCATCACTGACTCAATGGACATGAGTTTGAGCAAGCTCTGGGAGCTGGTGATGGACAAGGAAGCCTGGCGTGCTGTAGTCCATGGGGTTGCAAAGAGTTGAACACAACTAAGCAACTGAACTGAACTACAAACCAGGACATCTGCATTTCCTATGAGCTGGGCACATATTTGAGAGGCCAAATGGGCCACTGAGTTGGAAGTCTCCTCCAGGGAATGAGAAGAGGGGAGGGGAACTATAGCCACGTTGCCCAAATCAGAGAAGCCAATACCTACAGAGGACTAGGATCCAAGGATTAAAAGAAAAAGCACCCTTCGAAGTAAGCTGATGCTGACTTCCCAACACATCGTCACTGCTGGAGGAAGAAAATCACAGGATTTTACTCGAAGCACCAAACCCCAATCAACATATGGCAAGTTCCGCCAGACAGAGAAGGGAGCAGGACAGAGATATGGCATAAAAGCTCACATGCATGCTCTGTGAACTGCAGAACAGAGATGATGGGAGCTCTTAGAGTTCTCCTTCCAGACACGGCTCCACCCAGAGGAGGAGAAGGTACAGGCCAGCGGTCAGCTGATAAAGACGCACCTCAGGCCGAGTATACAGGACAAGATGACACCAGGGTATACTTATATATGAAGGACCTGTCTGGTCTTTGTCCCTTGGTTGCTCCTGGAAGATGACCCTCAGTTGCTGGACCTTCTTTGTTTCTTCATTTGGCTGCACCAGGTCTTAGCTGCAACATGTGGACCTTAGTTGTGGATCTAGTTCCCTGACCAGGAAATGAACCCAGGCCCCCAGGAGCCTAAAGTCGTAGCCACTGGACCACCAGGGAAGTCACAATCCTTGGATTTTCTTAGTACCGGGGGTGTATCTTTGTTATTCTCGATGCACCCTTGAGTCACACCCGAGTTCATGCTAAATGACTCAGAATGGGAGCAATAGAAGCTCCACTTTCTCTGGGGAGGGAAGAGGGTCTGGAGATTACAATCAATCATCTGGTTAATGATTCAATCACTTGTGATAATATAACGAAACCCTGATAAAAACTCTGGACACTGAAGCTCAGTGATGCATCTCTGTGCCAAGAGGGTCCTTCCATGGCAAGAACCCAGAAGCTCCGCACGCAGGACCCCCTCGGCCTCACCCTCAGTGTCTCTTCATTTGCCTGGTCTCATGTGTAGTGCCTTCCTGAGCTCTGTGAGTCCTTCTAGCAAATTATCAAATCCGGGGGTGGGGTGGGGGGTGGGAACCCCCAAATTTGTAGTCAGTTGGTCAAAAGTACACATGGCCTGGGGACCCCAAGCCTGCAGCGAGCATCTGAAGTGAGGGCAGGCTCACGGGAAAACTGTGTCCTTAAGGGAAGAGAGTCTGTGCTCACTCCGGGTAGTCCGCATCAGAATCGCACTCCAGTATCACAGGGGTGCAGGGCCACCCTGTCTGAGGCCCAACGAACATGCAGGACTCAGTCTGAATTTTCCAGGACTTTCGGTCTCCTTTACCCACCCACTCCCCCAAATCCACTGAAAATACAACTTCCTCTGAAGTCAGAGCGTTAAGAGTCACAATTTAGGCACATATGGCAGCCCAAGGAGCAGGCGTAGTTCACACGGCTAGCACTGTGGAATAAAAAGCAAAGAATGGACCCTCATTCAGCAGCTGTGCGACTTCAAGCAAATGACCAACTCTCTCTGAGCCTCAGTTCCCATCTCCATGAGATAAGGCTGATGACCCTTCACCCTCATACAGCTGATGAGACAAATCAATGACGCAACTGATTTACAAAGAGCCTAGCATTCTGTCACACGTGGAAGGCACTCACACATCAAGCCCTCCACTTCCAAACTGCCCTGCACCCCGAACTCTCTCAGCCTCTCAGCTCTCTCTGGATAACTGTTCTGGCAACATGCTGATGTTTTAGATCCCAAGGCAGCAGGAAGCCAACCATTACACCGAAAGTGAAAAGCAAGTAACCATTACCTTGAACAAAAAGGACATTTATATTTACTTCAGTGGCTATAAAAGACACCATAAAATATAATATGCAGCATGCATCCTCATGATTCATAGCAGATCTTGCAAATTATTCTCTCAGGTCCCTGGGTGCATCCAGCTGGTCACTAAGAACAATTAATTCAAAGGGATGGCGAACCATCTCTGGTCAGTGAAAAATCTGCTTGTTGTATTATGAATAAAGAGAACAGAAAATGAGATTCAAATTTAGGATTTTTTTTTTCCTACTCTTATGAATAAGGTGAAGTAAGATCAGAGAGATTCAGACACAATTGCCGTGAGCCTGGGTGCTCAGTGAGAGCTGAGACCTGCCACATCTGGGGTCATAGGGACCTGGAGACTACAGACACAGGAGTTAGAACAGGCGTTTGCAGGTGTCCCCAAACCTGGAGCAGATAATCGGGGCCGGGGGGAGGGGGCAGGCTGGCAGCAGGCAACAAGGCAGAAGCAGCGTCTAGCAGGCAACCAGCAGGTTTCAGAGCAGAAGCCCAGCCACATGACTGAGGTTTAGACAACAGTGTCAGGAGTGGGGATGTCGAATGATGAATCTGAGGGCTAAGTCAGGAGCCAATCAACAGAACAAGGGAGGTGCCAGGTCACAGGGAATGAGCGGAGAACCCAGGGGAAGCAACGTCAGAGATTTCCACTGAGCCTCTGAGTTCTTGGCCTTAGCTTCCTGACAGTGGCAACCAAGATCTGTCTCAGAAAGGAAAAGAAACATACAAGAATCAGAAAGTGGACGCACAGTGGAAGGCTGGAAGGATTTTGGGGACAAGAAGTCAAACAGATCACAATGGCATGTGGTATCCGTGGTCACTCCTACCTTGTGGCCTGAGTGGACTCACTCCCAACCTGGAAAAAATGGCCCGCTGACCACGCTCTTGCCCTGAAGCCCCGAAGTGGTTTTTATTGAATCACAGTACATAAAGTCACCAAAGGGGTCACCACGACAGCCGTGAACTCACAGCTGCAACAGAACCTGGCTCGGGGGCCAAGCCAGCCCGGGAAGGTCGGCACCTCCGGGCAGGGACGGCGCAGAGAGAAACCTCCTCTCCAGCAGTTCAGGGACCACGCTCCTCTGCAGAAAAACCAAACGTCTGGCGAGTTAAACATGCCTTCAGTGGGCTCCATGGTCCATCCTGACCACCAGAAAGGTGAACAGAAGCAGGTGGGGCGGGTGTCCAACCCAAAGGCACAGACGGGGAGCGGGAAAGCAGACTGCCATGCCTTCTCCCTGGGAACGGACAGAAACCTTCCCGGGACATGGCCTGGGGCCCCGAGACGCGGGCTTCACGGGAGAGGACTTCCAGAGGCGGAGCATGACGGTGCCACGGACAGGGATCGCGGGGCTCCACGGGGCAGGAACGGGGCAAGCGGTAGAGACACGACGGAAGAGTGGGGGGTGAAGAGACCCCTCGGCCATGGCAGGGGCCACCGCTGGGCAGGGGGCAGCGAGTCCACTCAGTGTGGAGCAGGCAGCAGCCAGCAGAGCAGAGCCCAGACCCAGCCGGTGAGCCTCAGCCCCTTCACGTGCAGAACGAGCTCGTGAAGGTTGATCTTCCATAAGCTGAAGGCCTCCCTGAGAGAGATCCGGGCCCTTCTGAAGAGTGAACGGGTCTTCTGCTTCTTGTGCCTGCAGGAGGGGCGCGAAGGAAGAGAGAGAAGAAGAGATGCAGAGTTGAGACGCACAGCGTCGCTTAGAAAACTGGAAGGCGGCGGCTCTGTCAACTCACCACCCACCTCCCCAAGGGGACAACAGCTCCTGGCTACGTGATCAGACCACTGCCCAATCCGGGCCCAGAGGAACTCAGCTAGTTTACAGGCGTTTTCCAGGTAAGTGGGTAAGTACAAGCACATGTTGCACACCTCATCAAAGGCCTGGAGGACCCACTGGGTATCACGTTTCAAAGTTTCTCTTTTTCCAAAAGTAGAGTTAATATTCATCAAGTCAGAATCCCCCAAACTCAAATGAAAGAGCTCTCCCAAACTTTCTGAGGCTAAGAATTGCCTGGAAACCTAATCAAGGTGGTCCTGGGGAGCTGGGGCCATGATGGACTCTGCCGAGCTCAAGGCCTTCTGCACCAACAAAAGGACATGATGGAAACTGGTGTTTATGAGGATCACCTACTCAAGACTTTTGTTTGCCATTTTTTTTTTCTGGCCACACCACACAGCTTGCAGGACCTTAGTTCCCCAACCAGGGACTGAATCTAGGCCCCAGCAGTGAAAGCACAGAGTCTTAACCACTGAGCCACCAGAGAACTCCCAAGACTTCGTTTCTGGAACCTCAGAGGAAGAATGAATCGTGTTCAGCCCTTCCCTATGCAGTGTATTTTGCTGTAATCTAACTCAGTATTTGATAGTGGGTGCATGATGCATGTGGCCAACATGTTTGACCCGTTTACCAGAATGACCCACTCTCTGCCTAGGAGGGACGGATGGCTCAGAGCTGACCAGTCCAGGCCTCCCCTCTTGGGTGGGAGCACTCAGGCCTTGGGTGGGAGCATGTGCCTTCCCATGTATGTGCTACCATCCAGTAGAAGAGCCTAGGATCCCCATTCCTCTACTATTCCCTCCCTGGGGAAGCACCCTTCCCTTCCACATCAACAGCTCCGGATGCTGAAGCATCTGAAAAGACCTGAGATCCCGAGAGAACCGGCTGGGGACACATGTCCTGAGTCACAGCCACACTCGCAGGGAAAAGAACACCGGCCTCGCTGCCTGGCGGGTGCTAGGGACACAGTCCCAGGACCAGGCACGGATGAGATATGCGTCAGGGCATCTTGATCCCAAGTCTGGGGACTCTTGGGTGGGACTGAGACTATCAGAAAACGCTGCAGACTTTACTGAGCGTAAGGGTCATGAGGAACGCTTGCTCGGGAAGGTGAGGTCCCAGAACCCACAATTTTAACCAGTAGAGGTGGCTCTCTTGGAGCACCTTAAACACAGACCCGAGGTGTCAGCCAGTTCCCTGGAGCTGGCTTCTGCCCCTAACCTCCTGCAGGAGGAGCTGGAGAGTGGGGCGCTCAGGCTGGGCCCTGGGGGCTGCGGGAGAAAGCAGAGGCCTGCAGACCCCTGGGGCGGATCAGGGAGCTGGGGTGGGAGCTGGCCGGAGCCCACACTCACGCGGCCAGTGCCCTGATGCAGCATCGCGACATGTTGAGGAAGGAGCTGGCGCTGGCGCGGATGCCCAGGGCGGCCTCGATGCCTCGCAGCAGGTCGTTGGTCTTGAAGATGAGCAGCATCTGGCGCGGCACGCGGTTGAGGAGCTGGCTGATCTGGGGGAGGTAGTTGGCCGCGTGGTTGCGGATCTCTGAGTCCTGAACAGAAAGAGGTGGCCTGAGTGGGGAGGGGGGCTCAGGGTGGCAGCAGGCGTCCGGGCTGCCAGCGATCGGAAGGGGCTGTGGGGAGGCTCTGGGAGGGAGGGTCTAGCACAGCGGCCTCGCCAGCACTAGGAACCTTCCCAAGGGGGAAGCTCAGCCCAACGGTGCTGTAGCCAGACGAACCTGGACAGGATGTCTCCCCCAACTTCCGGCCCAGAGCCAGACACAGCACCAGAGTCCGTCACCACGGGGGAACAGACCTCATTTCTACTGCCTCTGCCGTCCTAGCTCCTTGCAGCCAAGGTCACCAACACCCAGCCCCCATCCCCCCAAGCCAGTACCGACGGGGCAGGGAGTCTACCTCCCCACCAACCATCTGATGGGTCCAGCCTCTCAGCCCAGGGGTCCACCTTTGCGTTATTCTCCAAGTTTCTGCACTGGCCACCAGTTTTCAGGCCAGGTCGGGAAGGACTCTTGGAAGCTGTTACTGGCTGAGTCACCAGTACTGGCTGAGGCCCCCGTCCCTCCAGCCAAACCCAGGCTGGAGCAGTCGAGACCTCTGAGCTCCTGACCCCAAACCCAAATCCAAAGTCCTGCCCCACACCCTGCCTGACCCCAAGCCCCGCCAGACCTGTTCACACAGCCACCGCCCATCACTGTCCTCCAGGCTGGAGACAGCGTCAGCCCGCCCATGCCCAAGGTCCTCAGGCCCTTGGAACAGGATTCAGGGCCAGCCCTTGCCCCATCCTGGTGGGTAAGTTTCAGGGCCGGTTTCCCAGCCTTCCATGTCCCTGAGCTCCGCGTGGTTCTGGGCAGATAACTGCCTCCAGCCAGAGTCCTGAGTACAGAGCGAGGCTCTGATCCCGTCAGGGCTCCAGGGAAGCAATGATGGCGATGGTGATGACAAGAGTCCACATGTACTGAGCATCACTAAGGAAAGCAGGCACTCTGACATGCTTGCATGCATGAATTCATCCTCACAACAACCCTCTTAGGCGAGTGTATATCCCCATTTGAGAGGAGGAAGCTGAGGCACTGAGAAGTAAAATAACCTCCCCTAGGTCCACAGCTAGTGAGGCAGGAGTCAAACCCTGGCCTTTCAGCTCCCAAGCCTGCACCCTCACCTCCAGGCTACACTGCCTGTCATCTCACAGAGCACTGTGAGGCCCAGGGTCCTCCCCTAAAACCTGGGCATGCTGTGCCTGCCTCCCAGAAGAACCCCGAGGGTCCCCAGAGGCAAGGTGTGGAGGGGCACAAGGGGCCGGGCAAAGTCACGCCAGGGCCCAGCGGTGCTGCCCAGCGCTTCGCCCCGAAGCTGCCCTCTGCAGCCGGAGCAGGACTCTCGGCCCTTTCAGACACACGTGTGCACAGCTGACAACTGCCTCACTGTGAAACCTGAAACGTCCCCCAGGCAGGAGCTATCAGACTAGAACATCTCAACACGAACACAGATGCCAAGAGCTTGTCTGCCTCCCCACCTCCCGTCCCCCGCTGCTTACAGGGACTAAGGCCAGATCAAGGCCCCGATCACCACAGAGACCCCTCTAAGCGAGGTCGGACGGGCCTGGCCACGGCCCCTCTGGACCCAAACGGAAGCCCCCGAGTCCACCCAGGCAGCGCTGAGGGGCTATTTGTCAGAGCAGCACAGCCTTCAAGCTTGGCCCCTGCTGGGTGCCTACCCGATTGCAAAAATAAAACTCTAACTTAGTTAACATCAACAGGTATCATTCACCAAGCACCTATTGAGTGCTACATGATCTCTCCCATCTCTGTGTCTTTAATCCCATCTAGAGGCTGTGTGCACACCAAGTTGCTTCAATCATGTCCATCTCTGTGAGAACCCATGTACTCTAGCTCTCCAGGCTCCTCTGTCCCTGGGATTTTCCAGATAAGAATACTGGAGCAGGTAGCCATTTCCTCCTCGAGGGGATATTCCCAACCCAGGGACCGAACCCAGGTCTCCTGTGTCTCCTGCATTGCAGGCAGATTCTTTACGGCTAAGCCATCAGGGAAGCCCATAAGACCTGGCACAGCCAAAAGAAAAGAAATAAAAAGCAAACAAACAAATCGCATCTTGGCTCCATCCGCTTCTCTCCACCCCCACTGCCGTTAGCACAGTCTCAGCCCCAAGGTCTTTCCACCTGCATCAGCCCCACGGCTCATCTTGCCCCACTCCAGAGAGAGACAACAGACTGAGTCTGAGCATATCCTTCTCCTGCTCAACAAGCTGTCAAAGACTTTGCTTTGTCCTGAGAAAGAATCTGAACTTCTCCCTATGTGATGCTCTCCCAGCCCAGCCCTCCGTACGCTTCTCAGCCCAGCATGCCTCTCCCTGACTCTAGACTACCCAAGCCTCTGCCTGGTTGCTTTCTCCAAGTCCTTCTGTGGCTGATGCCTTTCTTTCTTTTATCCATCCGACTGCACAAGGTCTCAGTTTCGGTATGGGTTATCTCGTTCCTTGACCAGGGATGGAACCCGGGCCCCCGGCATTGGGAGTGTGGAGTCTTAACCACTGGACCACCAAGGCCGTCCCTGGTGCCTTTCTCATCCTTCAGGCCTCAGTTTATGTGTCGACTCCCCAGCGAGGTCTCCCCTATGGCGTCCCCCCACCCCACATCATCACCGGCGCCCTGCTGGTCTCTCCCTGGCACCTCTAACCTGCAATCACTCCATTTACCTGTTTGTTCACTTGTTTACCATCTGTCTCCCTCTGTCACAGTGCAAATCACATGGAAGGCCTGTCTGCCTGTTCATCGCTGGGATCCACAGGACTCAGTCCAGAGTCCAGCAAAAAACAAACATCCATGAACAAAGGTCAGAAACTACAGGGAGGCCCTCTGCACGGGTTATCAATGAAGCAGAATTATCCTCCCTGTTCAACAAAGGAGGGAGAGGGTCCCTCTTCTTCTGAGACGATGCGCTGAAAGCTGCGTGAGCCCGGCAACCGGCGGTCATCTCTGTCACCAAGTCTGCTGGGGAACGAAGTCAACTTAGTGGAAAGCGGCACCAAGAGACGTGCCTGCTGGGGGACGTCGCTGGAGACTCTGGACCCAGCCATTGCTAAAGCCCCCACCCCAAGGCAGCTCACAGGGCAGGACTCCGAGGCTGAGAGAGGCAATGAGAACCCTCCAAGGGCAGGCCTCCAGGAGAAGCAGGGGCTGGAATCAGAGCCCAGGGCCTTCCACCGCACAAGCAGAATCCAGTCCCTGGCGGCGAGCGTGAGCCCCTCCCCACATGGACACGAGCAAGTCTGCACAGGCCTGCCAGCTGACGGCCTAGGAAGACAGGAGGCAATTCCACAAGGGACTGAGACGCCTGGGAGGGAGCTCACCCCAAGCCAGGAAGAGTCAGCCCCACATCCAGCCCTGCCGCGGGGCAGCGATGAGGGCGCAAACAGAGAAGGGTGCTCCCGGGGCTGCATTGACCCCGGGACTCCTGACCCCTGGGGACTCTCGTCCAGAGCCTGTTCCAGCACAAACTCCATAGGACAATGGGACAAGAGCAAGCCTTTGAGCATGCCGTGAGAAAGCAAAGCCCCCTCCCCACAGGGCGCCCTAGAGGAACCCCGCGATGGGAGACGGTGCCCAGCAGGAGACAGCGGGCAGTGCCAGACTCACTTATGAGTCAAGTCTCTGGGGGGATGCCCAGAAGTCCTGCAGGAGAATGTGGTGGCAGGCTGAACCCTTGTGAGAGCAGGTCAGTGTGAACATCACAGGGCCGGGGTTATACAGTCAACAGGACCTACTTAATCCTCCAAGGCTGGAAGGCGGACACAGCAGGACACCGCTCCCTGTCCCCCTGCCCCCGCCCCGGGACACTGTCTCTCCCACCCCCTACTCCTCAGGCAGGACCTCTCTAATTCTGCTCCCACCCCCCACTCCAGCCCCACTGCCCACCAGCATGATCTCAGACCCTGGGTGAGCAGGGCTCCACCCTCGGCCCTGCCCCCTTGCCTCCTCGGGCACAGGTCAGGACCGGGAGCAGAGGGCACCCACCTCTGTGGCGGTGACGGGAGTCTGGCCGATGCCCCTGTTGACCGCGTCCCAGGACCGGGCCGTCAGCATGCAGGCGAACAAGGGGTAGAGGTCGCCGGCTCCCAGGCGCTGGCCGTACTTCCTCACTCTCTGCATGTCGGTCCAGATCAGCGACTGCCAGAGGCGGCAGTAGTCCAGGCGGAACTCCTCCGTGAGCGCCTACGGCGGGGGGCAGCGTGGCAGGTTGGGGGCCTCCTCCCCCCGTGAAAGACCTCGTCCCCGCCCGGTGTGACCGCCGTGAGCAGGGGCGGGGCAGACTGTGACACCTGCCCAGCGCCTGTATCCCCCGCCAGTCAGCCATCCTGGAAGATCTAAGCGTAAAGCTACTATCGGGTCAGCCTTGGTCCTGGAGAGTGTTAGAGGCTACCAACGGCCCACCAAAATCTACACTTCCCTCTTCTCCCCACCCACAGCCTACCACCGGGCTGTCCTCTGTTTTAGATGTAGCTCTCAGCCTGAGTTCTGACCGATGGGATGTGTCAGAAGCTCCACTTCCAGGCCTGGTCCATGAAACGTTCCCAGGCATGTTCCTCTGAGCCTTTACTCTGCTCCTGGGGGCTGGCGGGCGAGACCCTCAAGGAGACCCGGGAGGTGCAGCTTCGGTCAGTCCCTGCCTTTGGGGCTCCTCCACGCAGCCCGGACTGGTGTGCGAGCAGGCAATGAGACATCCGCTGTTTCTGGGCCATGACTCATTTAGGGGCTGTGTCCACCCGAAACTAACACGCCCAGCATCACTGAGCCTTTCAAAGGAAGCCCAGGTTTGGGGATGTGAGTGGGATCAGAGCTCTGAGCGGAGAAGCGGGAGACCAGCTGGGAAACCTCGCCAGGACCATCGGCTTCATGGAATCAAACCAGGACCTGGGGCCTGGGATAGGCAGGGATCTTCTCATCTTCCCAACAGCAACACACGGCTCACTGGTACCAGCTCTCTGTCCCCAGTTCCAGAGGATGGAGTCAGGGTCAGCCAACCCCTGTGAGTTTCCCACCCCCACACCCTTCCCCACTAAACACGACCCCCTCACTGGAGGTGAGTGACCCTGCCCCCTGCCCCATCTAAGCTCATCTGAGAGCAGCTCACCTCCCAGGGTCTGGCTGGTCTGAGTTTCCCTGGGGGAAAGGGTTTTTTTTTATTTTTTGGCATCTGACAAAGTCGATTCACACATCCAGGTACAATCTCATCAACCCCTCGAAGCTGCCTCTAAACAAGGAATTATCACTCTCACTCTGTTGCTGGTATTCAGTCACCCAGTCGTGTCCAGCTCTTTGCGACCCCATGGACTGCAGCATACCAGGCTTCCCTGTCCATCACCATCTCCCCGAGCTTGCTCAAACTCATGTCCACTGAGTCAGTGATGTCATCCAACCATCTCGTCCTCTGTCACCCCCTTCTCTGGAGGAAGCTGGGGCTCGGAGAGCTTAGAGAGCTCACGTGAGTGTGACTTGCACAAAACGACGGCCCTAGGGGGTAGGGCAGCACCCTCTCCAGCTACCTTGCCATCTGATCCCGTTTCTGTGGTGGACAGGGGAGTTCAGCGGGTTCTGAACCAGGCCGGACCAGAGCCTGGGGCTGGCTGGTGGGAAAGGGCCCTCCTACCTGGTACAGTCCGTGGTCCAACAGGACAATCTCCACCTTTCCCGTGTCCGGCCGCTTCCGCACCAGCACATTGCCTGGGTGGGGGTCACAGTGCACGAAGCCGTTGACAAAGATCATCTCGCTGTACATCCTGCCCAGGTGACGCGAGATCTGCAAGAGAAGGGAGGCGGGTGGGAGCGGCAGCGTGTTACCACCTGCCTCAGAGACTTCTACGCTGGCCACTTGGGCTGGCCACCTTCAAGAGGAAGGCCTGAGGGATCACGGTGGAAGCAATGGCTTGAGACCCTGCAGTTCTTGAGTTGACGAGAGAAGCTGATCGCTAATCAGACTTTTCCTAACTTTAGCTCCACGTTTGATTCAGCTGGAACTCAGAAATGTTGGGGGTGGTCCCCAGGCATCCGTAGTTTTTTAAGTGTCCAAGAATGATTTGAACAGATGGCAAGACAGGAGAACCGCTGCTTCTGGGTTTCCTAAAGGCTATAACACCCACCTCTCCACACTTCCCAGTTCTGTGTTTTTTCCTTCTTCTCTCTTATCAGTCCCCCTTCACTTTGTCCCCCCAAAGCTGAATGCAGGTTGGAAAGCTGGGTTGGGGGTAGGGATCATTCTCCCTGCCCCTCCTCCAAGGCCAGGAGGTGCTGGGCCCCAGGACAAGTTGTCCCAGCATCTCCAGGTCAGGTCCAGGGGCACCTGGAGCCACATGCCTGCCCCACCCCTCCCCTCAGGCCCCTGTCCCTACTCCCCTCTCCACCAGCACCCAATGCTAATCTGATTTATGATGTCTGCACAGAAGAAATGACACTGCAGAGGCCATTTAAATCATCCTGTCACTGCTGCTCTCCCTGCCCGGGCAGCCTCCTTATCTCTACTCCCTTTTTATTAAAGCTAAAAGCCTTTTCCCAGCTAGGGAACAGCTGCTGAAGAGAGGCAGACCCAGCCCCACAGATGGTCTGTTGATGGGTTTCCACGGGACAAAGGGATGCTCATCCCAGGAAGCTGATGCCCCGAGGGCACATGCTGCCCTCAGTATCCCTCAGCCTCAGCTGGACCCCACGGGCACTAACAAACATATCCCAGCCAGAGGGGAGAAGGGGCCCATGGGGTGAGGAACACAGAATGAGGGTCTCAAGATAAAGACACAAGTCCTTTCCTTGGCCTGCCTGTGTGTGTTCAGTCGTTTAGTCGTGTCTGATTTTGCAACCCCTGGACTGTTTAGCCCGCCAGGCGCCTCTGTTCATGGGACTTCCTGGCAAGGATACTGGAGTGGGTCGCCATTTCCTCCTCCAGGGGATCTTCCCAAACCAGGGATCGAACCCACACCTCCTGCGTTCTCTGCATTCGTTTCTTGGCCTACGAAGTCCGCTTTGACCAGGCCCAGCCTCCCTCCCTGGTCTCAGTCTTGTACCACTGACATTCCAGCCATATTTGATCTCTTTCTCTTCTCTAATAACCCCTGTGCCTTCCTACCTCTGGTCCTTTGCACATGATGTTTGTTCCAGGAGCATCATTCCATTTGCCCTTCACCTGGTTCACTCCTCTCTTCCTTCCCATCCCAGCTGAGCATCATTTCCCAGGGGATGCCTTCCCGGACCTCCTAGATTAAACGAGGTTCTCCCACCATACACTCTCATAGGATGCTGCAGACTGTTCCTGTTCCTTTTTTTTTTTAACGGTGCTGTTTTTTGCTTTGTTTTCAGTTTTATCTATTTATTGTTGGCGGTGCTGGGTCTTTGTGGCTGTGCGGGCTTTTCTCGAGCTGCAGCAAGCAAGGGCTACTCTCTAGGGTAGCCCTCACCTGTGGTGGGCAGGCCTCTCATTGTCATGGGTTCTCTTTCTTGAGGGCACAGGCTCTAGGGCATGCAGGCTTCAGCAGTTGGGGCACACAGTCTCAGGAGTTGTGACCCCCAGGTTTTAGAGCACACACTCAACAGCTGTGGTGCATGGGCTTACCTGCTCTGTAGCATGTGGGTCTTCCTGGACCAGGGATCAAACCTGTGTCTCCTGCAGTGGCAGGCAGATTCCTTACCAGTAAGCCACGAGGGAAGGCCTGTAGTTGTTTTTTTTTTTTAATCACTAGCACACTCTTTGTATTCTTATTTGATTAACAACTGTCTAGCCATCAGTTTTAGATGACTAAAACTGATTATTTTGTTGCATTGTTTCATTGAGGTCTAAGTTCCATATCACAGACTGGCTCTGTTATCCATCCCCTTGCCTGTAAACAGGCCAAACATGTGAATACAGGACTCTGCCTTCAACATGAGTGAGACCCTGGTCTCTCCACGTTTTTCTGAGATGCCAAGGTTCTCGCCTCTGATGCTTATCCTAACCCCATTAGTCTCCTCTGAATCCCAACCATGATAACTGGCCTCAAATTCAATCATCAAGAATAATTCTACTTTAGTAACCATAGTTGTCATCCTTATTAAAGGGCCCTAAAACTAAGTACAACTATAATCCCCAATTTGCAGATTAGGAACTGAGATTCATCAAAGGTTTAACTTACCCAGAGTTACCTGGCTGGAAAGAGACAAAGCCAAGATTCAAACCAGGTGAGACCCAGGCTTCTAGGAACCATTATTCTATACCAGCTCACATGACTTCCGCACTTCTCAACTGAACTTTGTGACCTTAAACAAGTTAGTTAAACTGTCAGCTTCAGTAGCATGGAAATAATAACAGTGCCATTCTCACAGATGACAGTCGGGTACATGACAGCATCGTAGTCCTTGGAACCTTGTGTGATGTCTCCTAGTGCCCCTGATTCCTCATAACACTCCCGGAGGGACCGAAGACTAGGTTTCAGTGTACCTGTTTTTTGGGGGTTTTTTTAAGAAGTTAGTTTATTTATTTCTAGCTGCATCAGTTCTGAGCTGTGGCACGCGGGTTCCAGGGCGTGTAGGCTCGGTGGCTCGGCAGCACGTGGAATCTCAGTTCCCCAACCAGGGACTGAACCTGTGCCCCCTGCATTGGAAGGCAGACTCTCATCCCCGGACCACCAGGGAAGTCCCTCCTTGCGCCTTTTAAAGGAATGATGGAACGAGGGTTAAAGAGGCTAACTGAGGTCCTGAGGCTCCGACTGTGTCACCAGGGCCCTGCTATCACGCACTCCAGCTCCTGCCACTTCTCCTGGGGGGAAAGGAACCCAGTACTCGGTGTCTGCTGGCATCAGGAACCGCCTTTGCCCCGTGTCAAGTCTCAGACTCCCGCTGAGATGGGGGGTGTTTCCTGGGAGAGGGGGCCCAGCCAGAGCCGGTCCCTGGATGAGCCAGCAGGTCCCCACCTCAGCATTCCCAAGAACCCCTTTTAGGGAGGCTCTTGGGAGCTCTATGGAGCCGAGCCCTGAAGGGCCATATCTGCCAAACCAATTGCATTTATTAAGTCATAATTCATTCTTATTTGTCAAGGACGCATATGAGGTCCAATCAGGGCTCCTGATCAGCCCAAGATAAGCAGGGCAGCCAGATGGAGCTGACGGAATTTCAGCCCAAAGCAGAGAAATGACATTTCATTTAGTCTGAGCCGACCTGTCATGGGGAGATGTATGATCTCCTCGAAGCTTTCTGAAATATTGCTGATCGCTGTAGGTCCCCTATTACGGCATTGAGAGGTGGCCCCGAGGGGTCTGGGGATTCAGGCTGGGGGAGCCTTGGCCCACGAGAACTGAGATGCTGCTACGGAAGGAGGAGGAGGAAGAGGCTGCCGACCGTGGCTCACATGCGAAGCGTCAGTCACTCAGTCGTGTCTGACTCTTTGCGATCCTGTGGACTGGAGCCCACCAGGCTCCTTTGCCCATGGGATTCTCCAGGCAAGAATTCTGGAGTGGGTTGCCATGCCCTCCTCCAGGGGATCTTCCCGATCCAGGAATTGAACCGGGATCTCTTGCACTGCAGGCAGACTCTTTATCATCTGAGCCGCCAGGGAAGCCCTTCCCCATCCGGCTGCCCCTACCTAGTATCTTTCCTTTCGGGGGCTGTTTCTGATGTTCATTTTAACCAGATTTCACCCGGACAGGCAGACAGGGAAGGCAGAGACAGGAGTGGGGTCCAGGAGTGGTCTGGCTCCACCCTGGGGCCATCCCAACACTGCCACTGTGGGCACAGGCAACCTGGGGGACAAGTCACCTCCCCTCTCAGTCGGCCCAAGCTCCCTTAGCTGTTAAGGGGGACTAGCCCCATCGATTCTATTTCCTCACAGAGAAACCTTGAGATTCAAGGTCAAAATGTGACTGCATAAAAGGGAAAGCGCTTGACACACTACACTATATAGCACAGATATGCTTGCTTTCTATAAGGAAATGTCTTATTATTTTAAACTTAGAGGAAAATATACCCATTATCACCATCAAAGAGTAATTTTCAAAAAGTTAAAAACTAGACTCTGGTACAAATGTAGACTGAACACGTGTCAAAGGCTATGAAACTCATCAATATAGGAGGCCGCAAGAAGGCAGAGCTGGTTCAAACTGAGGATTTTGAGGGACTGGGTATTTACGGGCATTTAAATAGGAATAAGATTCCAGGATTATATATAAAACTGGTTATTGGCTGACTGGGCAGTAAGGAAATCATAACCTTCGGGTTATCTTTGCTAGTGGGGAGAAGTTATTGGCATCCCTACTAGATAAGATCTAAAGTTGACATATGACTTCAGCCTAAGCCTTTAATTGTCAATAGCAAAGTCAAACAAAAGTACATTCCCTTAGATACTAAAAAGTCCTCGGGTAGGTTGTTTAAGCAAACTCCCAAGACCGATTTTGAAAGGACAAAGTGCACACTCCCATCTCTAAATTTTGGGTAGCTTTTCCTTTCTCTGGCCACACTACGCAGCATGCAGGACCTTAGTTCCCTAACTGGGGACTGAACCCAGGCCTCCTATATTGGGAGCACACAGTCCCAACCACGGGACCACCAGAGAAGTGCCTCAGGAATTACTCTTCTCTCTCAGAGCTGCAGTAAACTGTAAACTGCCGAGAGAAAGGCGGCCAGTCCCCCCCCTCCTACTCACAGAAGTACGGAGAGTCGCAGAGGGAACCTAAGGCCATTACTGGGCACAGAACCCTCTCTCCACACCTTGCATGTACTTAGCTCGACCGCCTCCTCAAGAACAAACAATTCTAAATAAGGCTGCAGTGAACACGGGAGAGCAGG